ACCAATCCAATTGGAATTATGCACCTGTCCACACACACACAGACACATGTGATCACAAAATGTAGGTGCCAGGTGGTTGAGACTTAACTTTGCTATGTGATTGATGCCTGTTTATGATTTGATACCTTTTTGAGTGACACTAGTGATTCATTTTTGTGACTGAGTGCAATACACTTAAGCAGTTAAGCACATCTGAATTTGGATGGCACAAAATGGTGCAAAAACAACTGTCAAATATACTCAGTGGCCAACACTAATTGCCTCTTGTTTGCTTGTTGGGGCTTTAGGGCTGAGGGCGTGCTGACTACAAAGTTTATTTTGTGTCCATAGTCATACACTATTCTCTCACATATAAGTTTCCTAGACAACAATACATCAAGAGCGTGGTTCACCTCAGTGCCAAGTGTGTGCCAACACCACTCCATGCAAAATCTGCACCACAACACAGTTAATTGTCATCACAATGCACAGAGAATGAGTGCCTCTACACCACTGAGTTTTTGTCTAGATCAAGATTGTGCCCATACAAGGGCTACCCCTTTGACCACCATCACATTGCATCGCATTGTGATGCTTTGCAATCTAATCTGGCTGCAAAAGCATGAGGTAGGTAATCATTGAATGAATAAGTAAAATGTTTCCTTAAAGCTCAATTTAACAGAAACATTTGATAAAAATCAATGCAACAAGATAGCAGTTCTTACCTTACTTAAGGTAGGTACCTTAATCTGATCAGAATTTAGAGGCAAATTACCCTGTAGAGAATCGTCCTCATCATGCTCATGACCTTTTAGACCTTTCTAACTCCTATCAGGTACCATGTATTTACCCAGTGGGAATCCAATGTTGATTTGAACTGCTCGATAGTGGCTGCGACAAAGACTGTTTGAAGCAAACCGTTCCAGTTATTGACTGCCCTCACAGTCACTCAACGATTTTCTCCTTGGCCTGTAGGCAGTCATTCAAACAAATATCATCGTAACTAGTGTTAGCGTTTAAAGCAGATAGCTTGCACCAAGGCTATATAAAAGTTCGCGCCAAGGCGATAAGTGCCGTCTGCACTGGCACAGTTTGAGCTGGGAACAGTGCACGAAACCAGTTAGAGCTTGCTGGTCTGGAAACAACAATAATGCCAATTATGAAATTGATATGCATTATTAAATGATAAAAATACTGAAAGACTCACAGGAAAAAGGGACGACCGACGTACGAAACCTTCAGGGTTGGCAGGGGCGTCGGCGTTGATTCAATTGCAAACAATCCAGCAGCCGCACGGTGGCAAGTTGCTGCTGGCAAGCGCGCGCCCACGAAACACCGAGGGTAGTTTTGGCGCAAGGAAGACAAAAGAAGCGATCCATGTGAAAAGTTAGTTGTCTAATCAACTGCAAAATATTTTTTTAATTTGGTTTTATAGTTTTTTTGTAGTTTTAAATTTTAAAGAAATTTATCTCCCATTAATAATAGCGAATCTCTTCACCAAATTATTTCGCTGAAATGACACTTTTTCCTCGAAAATTGAAGAACATTCAAGAGGCAGATTTCTAGCTTTCAGCAAGCAAAACTTTCCATCAGGCTTCCTGAAAATTTACTCAACTCAATGGACATAATTTTTTCGGAAAGAAAAGCAAAAGGTGAAAAATATGCTTGAATATCCAAAGAATATTTCGCCTCTGACCGCCCAAGCCCTTTATGGCAGGCTTTCTGTCTCCTATGACGTCATGAGACTTCAAAGAGTGCTTGATTTTCACTCACATGATTCACTGATGAGATTTTCTTTGTGTGTGGGTGGTGTGTGGTGTGTGTGGTGTTTTGTGTCTGCGTATTTACAAATTGCAACCGAGCTCCGCCGTAGGGTATTTTATTTCCGCCGTAGTGTATTTCACTTGGGGGATTTTCTACCATACATCTGCCTGAGCTTAGGGTAATTACAATTTGTCGGCGACGTTCGAAAATGATGCACCTTTTTTCGCAGTATAGGATATCGCATGTGCATATTTCTGCCTTTTTGGGTGCGCTTTATCGGTTTTTCGCGAGTAACTCGCGTAAAAACCGTCCGATCGCGACAAAACTTTCAATACCCCTGATTTTATCAATTTTACACCTACCCTGAAAATTTCATGACCCTGACCCAAATGACCTTTGACCTGTGACCTATTTCTCGAGACCATGTTTGGCCCGAATCGCGATTCGGCGTATGTCGGCTCGCATTAGCCGCGCGGTTGCAGTTTTCACGTGGTTTCAAGCGTTGAAACATGTGATATGATGCTGGTCCCATGCATTAGGGTAGGTGTCAAGGTCACCTGAAGGTCAGGTCAGCTCAATGACCTTTGATGACCTCGGTTCACTTTTTCGAGTATTACATGTTTCTAGGCTAGTTTTTGGAGCTGATTTCGAATTTAGCAACCATTTGAACATCACAGCGGGTGTAACGAAATTATCCAGACACCTTTCATCCCGCTGTAAAAGCAAAACAATCTGGTACTTTTTCTTTTAACTGAGCTTGTAGCCACCTTTCATAAAAACACAGTTTACTCACCTCGTTGGTTTCTGCATATCTGAGTGGTTTCAAAGGACAGTCAGAGAGGAAATGAGGAACCCACACAGTGGCGAATGTTCTGGAGCATTTCAGCCAATGGATTCTCCAGCACACTGGCTTTGATGCGGACCAACGCCGTCTAAACCTGTGCCTGCGGTTGAGCAGTGCTTATGGCGGGTGGCTCTTCATACACCTCCTGCTGAACAAGAGCCCACAGGTTTTCGATTGAATTGGGATCGCGACTTTTTCCAAGTCATAAGCGTTAGCCCAGAATGATTGAAGGTTCTATCGGCATCACTTCCCGTTCTTTTAGGGACTTTTAAGTAGCGCGCCGCCACGCATGAAGACAGCGTGGCTTGAATCAGGCATCAGTGCGCGTTCAGAAACCGTGCCCTCCTATGCCGTCTGGTTGAGCGCCTCCAATCATGCTCCACCACCTTCCCTGGAAAAGCTCCACCCTTGCCTATGGGGCAAAATAAAAGGGACAAAAACACAAAACAAGACAGATAAAAACAAAGCAAAATTAACTCATTACATAATGAAATTCAGGCTGGAGCAAAAACATAGGTAATAGGTTATGTCAAATTAGAATGAAAGTTAAAAATCAACCTCACCAGGCCTTACGGTCCGACCGGGTTCTAACCACCTTACTTCGCCTAACTTGACCCAGTTCAACCTAGCCTACCACAACACCTGCAGAGTGCAGAGGTACATACCTTCCTGGAAAAATGACGCCCAGGGAGATGACTGTCCAACTTATTGAAACACTACCATGATTGCTTGTCAAAATGTGTGTCATCATGCTCTTGTTTGACAAGTGATGTATAATAAATGTGATATTCAATAATTACTCCTGACTGTTGACTGTTGTGTGCACTGCTATGTGCACCTAAGTAAAAAAGTGACTGGTGGTACATGACAAAAGGTTGAGCAACTGTGAAGTTCATGCCCTTGGTCTTGCTGGTGCCAAATGCCTATAGCTAGGATCAGTGAGGGTTGTAGACATGCTACATACATTGTGCATTGAAGAATGAAGATATTGGCACAAAGTTCATCCGTAATTACTATGCTTAACACCTAATGCAAGAAGCGACATAAATGCCCAGATGATAAAGCTCTCTGGTCAACAACACACAAATTTATTGACATACTTTGCAGGTACATATTTACATTCATGGCAAATACTTTCGATTTGATTCAGAAACTAGTTGCTAGTAAGCTTGCATTTTTGTAGGCACAACAACGACCATATATTAAATCATAAAAAACCTTCTCATGGCATTCATCAATAACTTTCTACCGAACAAGTACCTTATAGGTACCTAGCTTCCATGCAATGATTCTAAAATTTGTCCGCAATCCATCTATATCTCGACTGACACAATGAATTTCAAATACCCTAACAACACCTATAACTGTACATAAGAAGAATGAAATACTACAAGAATTGTGAATTTATGAAGTTATTCTCACATGCTGAATGATGAAACTCTACTTTTGTCGTCCATTTCCATGTTTGATTGAGCCATCATATAGAACTGTTTCCGTTCTACAGTCACAAGCTTTCCCACAAATCTTGAATTTTTACACATCATCTTGAACCATGCTCCAGTCTTTCCAACAAAGCAATTTTGATTTGTTGCAACAGCTTCAGATCATGATATGCTTGAGGTTTGTTACACCATTTGTCAGACAAATCTCTACAAAATGTGTATCAATTCCCAAACTAAGTAATTGATCATATCAGTATTTGCAGTTTCCACACAATGTTTCATAATACTATTTTATGTTTATATAAAGAAACTCAAATAATCCACAAATTGTTATTGAAACACTCCCACTTCAAGAATTCACAGCAATAACAGTAGAAGTTCAGAAGCAAACAAACATTGCGCCACATTTCGTATGAAACGCGCCATCGCCCTGAAGTTTCTACCACAGACGGTAGTTCAACCGCAGCCGTAGTGCGAAAACCCCTGCCCACCTTACCCCACGGCGGAGCTCGGTTGCAATTTGTAAATACGCTTTGTGTCTATGATCTGTATGATTGTGTGTAATGGAGTTATGGGCCTGTTCCAGCGCCTCCAGTAGAAATTCTTGACTGGAGGCTCTACCAGAGGTTTCACTGGAGGCGCTGGAACGCAATCTGGAGATTTCTGGAGATTGGCATCACAGATACCAAAAGAATGACGATTGTTCTCTCTTGAAACGCAAAATTTGCTTTCAATTTTATAAAGAAAGATTAACAATATTATAGCAATGTAATTTTCTTTACTTTCAAGTTGTAAAATAATCAGTCTTAAGTCCTTTGTTTACATTCGTGATTGTCACATGTGCGCCATAATTGTAGACCAGAGCCTCCAGAGAAATTTGGACCTCCCAACCCTCTGGAGGCTACTGGAGGTTTCTGGAGCTTCGGCGAGAGCTTTCTGGAGCTTTCTGGAGGCGCTGGAATGCTCTCTGGAGGATTCTAGAGCTTTCTGGAGCTTTCTGGAGGTTTCTGGAGGCGCTGGAACAGGCCCTATGTGTTTTGTATGTAAAGCTCTAACCGTGTGTATTTTCAGTTTGGTTATTTCTTCTGGACTGCGAAAAAACTGATAGTTATTAGCAAGGCCATATATAGGGTTATTCATAAAGTACTCTTGGTGAGGAGCGGGTGTCTCGCACGGTCGTACGTTACCGACCCTGACCGAGGAGGGTTAGTTATTATTGTTCACTCAAATCATTGTCTAATTTTACACAAATTGAGTGAGATTAACTTAGGCACACAAATTATTCATTGACAGCATAATTTACTGGTAATCACAGATTTTTAGATCGAATTTCAACAAACAAATGATGTATAACTTGGAAGCTGATAGAGCCACAGTGCCAAGGAAAGGGGCGTTTGATGGCTCAATAGGCTATCTTTCTGATTGATTTCTCAGATTCATGGGCACAGGAACAATTTACAGTTTACACCATTTCCTCTGGTAGGTGAACTTGAAAAAAAATGTTCTGGCATGTTATGACCTACTGTTCATTCAACCGTTGCCTAGTTCCCTGTGGGCTGTAAGTGCCTATTTACAAGCAACTTGACATGGACAAGGCCAGCAAAGTTTTTCGAAGGTGGGTAAACCATATTGGCCTTGTCTGCCCAATTGAACCATTTGCTGTAAAATGTTTTAGTTTTTCTTGTATCTCCTGTCAAGTCCTAGCCAATGACATGTATAGGGTAATCATGTGGCTGTCCCGAGTTCTGTTAGCACTTTTCCCCCCGTTTATTTACCAGTAGGCTGTGAGCATGCTGCTACTTCTTGGCTCCTCATTGGTCAAATTCAAGTGGTCTATTCGTTAGATCAATGAGAGGCCATGAAGCGCCAGGCGCCAGCAATAACTTCCTTATGTGGGGAAAACCGACAGCACGCTGATATAAAAACAGCGACCGAACAGAGCTCTGCTGACCAGTCATGCGGCCTGCAGGGGCGGTGTGCGGCTGCGCACGCTGAGCAGCCGCCACTCGGAGCTGCAGCTACTCATCTCTGAGCTGCGCACGGTGCGCGCCGCGCAGCGCGGCCTGGTGGCGGCGCAGAATCGCGCCGCGCAGGACCTGGTGCGCTGGTCGCTGCGGGACGAGAACCGCGCCGTCCAGGAGGTGGCACAGCTGCTGGCCGAGCTCACCGCCATCTACGCCGACGTGCAGACCGAGTTCAATGGTGAGCGTTCGGCCTGGCCGGGGAGTGTAGTGGCTGTACCGGGAGAGAGAGGTGACGTGGTGCCACAATGGTGATGCCTTGCCATTCTGGAATGTTTCCGACCAACTAATAACTATGTCCCCGTGCCTTGAGAGCTAGGTATGTAAAGGACGGCCATGAGGACGAAGAGACCGGCGTGTCGGGGTGTTTCGTTTCGCGTCAGGCGATTCATGTGTTGATGACTCATCGTCACGCTTTGGTACTCTCCCCTCCCCGTGCTGCCTGCCAGAACACAATAATGACCGGGCGATCATTAGCCGACGAAACGCTGCCCGGCTCGAACAATAGACCACCGGGAATGTTTAGTGTCGGTGGTCTAGAGTGAAACTCACCGGACGCTCTTTAGCTCAAGGCTGTTACTTTTGGTTCTGCGACACCTGAGCGAGCGTCATTTCAGCGAACGACATTTGAGCGAAACATTTTCAGCGATTATCAATTTAAAGGTAGTGTGCCACCTTTGAAAGATTTCCCATTTTATTTTTCCTAGGATAAGAAGCTTCTGTTTTTACCTAATATCGCAAAAAAATCGAAAATGGGCCTGGAATAGTGCCTTTTTCGCCTAAAAGTTTATCGGTTTTTAGATATGTATAACAACTGTAGTGGGCTCACCTGCAAACAGGCGTCGGGCAACAATCGCGAATGCGGCGCACTTGTGACAATAAGCAAAGGTCATTATAGTGTTACGACCATAATACGACGTACGGGAATGAGTTATCAGCTGTCTAATCGTAGACAACACAATGTCGAGCCTTAAACCATGGATGAAAGAACCTGGATAGGAAACTCCTATTCCTTCAACATTACGGGCAGCGTTCCGGGCGATCGACCTGCCACCTAGCGTTCGGTAAGTATCGGGACTGGAAACTCCCGCCGTTAAAGGAAAAGGGCCACCTTCGTGAAATATGAAGATATCGTTGTTTTTCATTTTGACATTATTATTTTTCATTTTCTTTTTAAAACTGGTGCCAGAAGTGCACAATTCGCGAAAAAGTATTTAAAACTATTTAACATATTGGTACCATGTTGATACTCTCTACGGCACCTACTGTATGATGGCTTAGCGATGACGTCACACTCAAGCCAATCAGCGTTCAGAAGACAGACTCGTCGGATTGTGTCAGATAAGCTGATTGGTTAAAGCTGAGCTGGTTGGAGCTGATTGGTAAAAAACCAAAGCCTCGCCGCGGGTGGCTGTATTGTCGGATAAGAACGCATTCCTGGGATAAGGACGCATTCCTGGCGTATTTTCTTTTAAAATTGCCGATAACTACGAATGGAGGCCAAAATCGGCCGTAAGGAGGTAAACAGTTAGGTTTTCGGACACGGGCTACAAGATGGCTATTTCAGTTTCAATCCCCATGTTAAAGGTGGCCCTTTTCCTTTAAGCATTACGGTCTATGGGGGACGCGGGGCGGCATGTTTTGAAATGGGTATTAGACCGCTATGCGGATTTATTTTTAGGTTTAGAAGCTATTTACGACAGACAAAATTGATCAGGCTATCGAATGAGACCAAAACTATTATTGTCCGTTTCGCACAAAAGTCGTACACGAGGGCCGAATACAGGCGACCTTGAAAAAGAGGGCCATTTCTAGTGTTTTTCTCTTACGCGGCGCCGGTGAACGCTTACGCGGCGCCAGTGAATGCGCGGCAGACGCGGCTCCCGCTGCCGCCGCGCGTGCCCTCGGGCACTTACCGAAGGGAACGCAATCAGCTGTTAGTTTCCAATCCAGGTTCTCCTTCATCCATGCTTTGTAAACCCGTATTGGTATTGTTTCTTTTATTTGGCTGTCGAACATTATTTATGGTTTGAAATATGATTTTATGTAAAATAATTGATATGAAAAAGCCGTCTTATAAGTTATGACCCCATTTCACCACACGCAAGTGGCAGAAATGACAATGATCAGCTGACGCATTTTTCTTGGCCGAAGTCAGAGCGCGCGGCCCGACGCACCACGCGTATTTGGAAATTCCGACCTCGACGAGCATCAGAAGCCACCTAACAGGCGTGTTCGAAACCGCAGGAGATGATGATGAACGGGTTTATCGAAACTTGATTGGATGAGCATATCGGTAATAGCGATTTCAGTGTGTGCATTTATTGTTCATAGTGGTGTGAAATGTGGTTGGGGTACGACCGACAACCCGTCGGGGCGAATTTCGCACTGGGGTACTCAAAATTTGAAGAATTTAAGACGTTTCCATGAGTTTTGAAGGTATGGATAAGTTATAAAAATCCGGTTCTCCTTATCTGGGCCATTAACTCCATACGGTCCAAGAAAGCTGGCACACTACCTTTAAGCGATTGACTTTTTCAGCGATTGTCAAGTCGGCGAATTCAATCACAGTGATTATCAACGTAAGCGAGGACATAGGCGGCGGAACGATTTGAGACAAGGGGGGGGCACCAGCTCAAGGAGCCAAACCTAGGGTACCCCCAAATCCTGTTTTCTCATCGGATTTAGGCCACTTATTTTTCGTCACAGCCCTGACACGATGATTTTTTTTTCTATTTTTTTTTTTACTAAACGAAAATGGCAGAACACTCCCGTATGTGTGGTTAACTTGAAGCTGATCCTCAAGTACCTATGTGTTTGTCTCTTTCTTATTCTCGTTTGATAAATTCCATTAACCCTCGCCCGACGAGGGGGGTTGATGCAACCCCCCAAAGTTTTTCGCAAATAACGTAAAAACGGCGGCGCGTAGCGCCGCCAAATTTGGCATACCTTCTGGGGCAACATTTTCGCACCTTTCCTGAAAATTTGAAGTCCCAGTCATTTCAGGTCAGGTCACCAGGTCACAAAAACCGGTACAAGGTCAGGGGAAAATTGGACTAGCTTAGCGGCAACTGAATTCCAAAGTTCACTAAAATTGGTAACAAAGTATACCATTCGATGCGCACTGACGTCCTGAGCTCACTGGTGCTTTTATTTTTGCTCTATCTTTGCTAGGTAAAAAGTTATAAGCGAAATTTTTTTAACATGTTTAAGCAAAATTTTTGCATTCATACCCCCAAAACCCCCTAAATATTGACTTAGAGTCACCAAACTTTCCTAGGGGCGAGATCTCCCATGGACCCACCTACCCTGTAAATTTGTCGTTTCTAAGTGCCATAGGAGCCAATCGCGAGGGGGGTCGTACCAACCCTCCCCCCTCGCCGTCCGTGTTATGGAAAAGGCCCTCGCCTGGCGAGGGTTAATCCTACATGTATCAAATTACCAAGAAGCCATTGCAGTACTAATCAGTGGCGAATCCCAGGGGGGAGGTCACATGGGTCATGACTTTGGGCCTGGGGTCACCACATGCCTGCCAGGAGCACCACAGGCCTGACAGCCGACAGGGGCACCACAGGCCCGCCAGGGGTACCACAGGCCTAGCAGGGGCACCACGGGCCTGTCAGTGGCACCACAGGCCTGTCAGGAGCACCATCGGCCTAGCAAAAGCACTACAGGTCTTCCAGGGGCACCACAGACCTGCCAGGGGCACCAGAGGCCTGCCAGGGGTACTATCGGCTTCGCAGGGGAACCACCAGCCTCGCAAGGGCACCATGGGCCTGTCAAGGGCACCACAAGCCTGTCGTTGGCACTTTAGGATTGTCAGGGGCACCACAAACCTGTTAAGGGCACCTGCGTTCTAACAGGGGCACCACAGGCTCGCCAGGGGCACCACAGACCTGCCAAGGCCCAGGGACACCACAGGCCTAGCAAGGACACCACAGGCCTGTCAGGGGCACCACGGGCCTGTTAGGACCCATGGCACCCAGGGCCCACCGTGGGCTTGTCAGGGGGCAGGGTAGGTAGGTACCACAATCTTTCCAGGGGCACCAGCGGCCTAGCAGAGGCACCAGTCATCACACGACTAACCAAAAATAAAGAAAATAGAAAACTGAAAATAGGGCACCACCAAAATTAAGTGGCCGAAATCCGTTGAGGTTTTCATTTTGGGTATAGGTAGGGGCACCACTTCGATTCATGACCCTTCCCTTGGAGTTTTCCCGAATCTGCTCCTGGTACTAATACATCAAATTTAAGGGGGGCACCTTGCTATTGGTGCCCCCCTTGCAGAATTCAAGGGGGGGCACGGTGCCCCGGTGCCCCCCCCCGTTCCGCCGCCTATGAGCGAGGACCAGAATCAGCGAAACCAGATTGAGCGAATATATGGTGGTCAATGGGAGACCAATTGAGCGAATACAGTTACAGCGAAACCGAACGCGACGAAAGTCAATCATTTCTACTTTTCGGAAATTCTTGCCCTTTGAATACCCGTTTGCTTTGTGTCATGCTTCAAGCTGCGCGCGACAAAATAAAAAAAATGTTTTAAAGCTTGAAAATCTGTTATCTTGTTCTAGTAATCTTGTTGGAAACCTGAAACCACAAAAATATCAGGCCTCATTTCGCAACGTTAAATCATTGATCTTGCAACGTTTAGTTTTTAAATTTTTGTTTTATATCATACGTCATGATAACACCTAACAGTTTGTAATCCACCAGAGGTAAAGACAAAATTAAATACAATGGATTGGCTACCGTTCAGTAGCGGCGGAACACCTTCAATTAAGGGTGCGTTTTACGCGACCTTTACACCACCTGGCGAGGATCTTGCTGACATAGAGATACGTTTCTAGACCAGTAGATGGCCCTAGCGCTGAACGCCGGTTTGCTGTCATAGGACAAGTATCACATTTCCCCTGTCCATCCATCTGTTAGCGCAGAGGGGTTCGACTGCCGGGCCGCCCCTCCCCATCAGCGCCCCGCGAGTTCGGGGAGGAGTGGCACGGGTCCGCCGCGCCAGTCAGGCCGGGCGAAAGGACCAGATGTCGTGCTCTCAGTCGAACCACATTGGGCCGAACCCGCGCCGACACACACGGATAGGGAAAGACCGGAAAAATGAAAGGGCTAACAGAATGAGGTACAGGAAAGCAGCTTCAGTCACATTCATAGTGTTAGCTTCATTAATCCGCGCTTGGGGAAATTGGGCGTTTTTTGTGTGTTAAACTTGCAAGTTTTTTTTTTTTGCTCGCATAAGCGCCGTGAAACTTGGCATAGCTTATCATACATCAATTTCTCATCGTGTATGAAATTGTGGAACCCCGGTCTCAGAAGTTTAGGTCACCCAGTTCAGGTATATCCTAGATGCTCGAAACTCGGGTTATTGCGCTATCAGCATCATGAGCTACACTGTATAGTACCGGACCATCGCATCAGAAGGTACAGAAGAATATGCTGTATAAAACACCTTCTTTGCAATTTTGTCACCGCTTCAGGGCTACAGTAGATGCCCGAGTCCTTTGAAAGTTGCAGTGCTTGATGTAATAAGGCCATTGGTAGCTACAACTTGTATGCCTCGGAATCTTATCAGTTCATCCGGACTTTGTCCCCCAAGAAATCGTTCGGGTCGGAGCTTTCGAATTGTACACAAAACGTCAGCGTGTCGTATATCGAGTTCGTGTGTATAGGTCGCAAAATTGAGGACGTTTTGCGACCGATTGGATTCCCCGTGATGAAGTACATCGAAATAGGTAACCTTTTTATGCAAAAGTTTCAACGTCGAAATTTGACCTTTTTTACCAGACCTTGACCTAACCTCTACCAGAAAGTAACCTAAACCGTTCCTCATGGTCGTCTAACCAAAACCATTGCGTTGGAAATGAAAAATTGGTCACAAAACATGCATCACAGGCCCTAGCAAAGTTTGGTTCATGTGTTAACCCTTGGTGACCTGACCTGTGTGACCTGACCTGGTATCAGTGACGTCTTTTAGCAACATCTGTACTAGGCAACCGACGCTTTGTCGATAATTTTCGATAAAATGCCTTTTATTCAATGTTATAACGCATTTTCTAGAAGGCCCGTGAACGGTGAAACATTTTAACTTTGACCTGACCTGTGACGTCATCAGTGACCCTGTGGTCAATGAAATTAATTTTATCAAGGCAACAGGGCTTTCGAACGCCGTTTGAGTTTTGCGAATCTGTCCAATAGTTTCGGAGATATGGGGGGGGGGGCAAAAATACCCCCACCAGTGCACGATAGGACCGCGGCCGGAATTAGCGCGACATTGGTGGATTTGGCGACCATTCCCAAATTGAGTTAAACTGTGTCACGTAGTTCAGAAATGTCCATGGACCACGAATCTGCAAATATTTTTCGTCCATAGTGTACAGCGTCCGCGCCACATCAGCCCAAACACAAAGTTTTGTGCCAAGCATCGTAGACCCGTTTTCGTACGGAGAAAAATAGCAGCTAATGTAGGCAAAAAAAAATGTATATTAGACGGCTTTATCAATATTTTCGACGTCTAACCTGATAGTTTAGACCATGGGCTACACGATGGAAGAAAAAACTCATAGCGGAATATATAAATACGCTTCAAATGTTAAGTTTTTTTGGTGCTTTTAAAATTGTGAGTTAATTTTACTGTTATAGATATTCTGGAATGCCGATATAAAAAGTCCCGCTAGGTCCCGCTGTTCTTTTATCAATATGGTGTTTACCAATCAATTGCCTTTCAAAAAATGTATAATTTAGCTGCGTCAGCCTGCGGCAGCGAAAATGAGGGGCATTTTTTTACTCCAGGTCGCCGCGGCCGGGAGCCGCGAGTAACAGAACCGCAGGAATGGAACAAGGTTGCCAAGTACCAACTATATTAAAGTTTTGTCCGGACATATCCGTACCTTCTATCGGAGTTTCTGATACACTTTTCTGACCCGTAATTAATTTGTTATATAGTCATGTAGGCCATCAGATTCCCATCTTCACGATTTTGGTGGCTACATTATTTGCTTATCGGAATTTCCGGTGCCGTCATGACTAGGCCTGACAGGTGCTGCCGTCTTATCACGTGACCGAGCCGAGTCGAGGTCAGGGCAGGTCAACCGATTAATTAATCAATTAATTAATGAATTCATTAATGATTAATTAATTAAATTAATCAGAAATTGCTTAGAAAGTACTCCGACTACCATTTTAAGATTCAACCATCCTTTTCATGTGAAAAGTGGGCACGAAATACGAAAAAGTACCGATGTCGCGCTAATTTTCGCTCCGGTCCCATTGTGCAGTGTGGAGGCTTAAGGTTATTTGACTCGAGGTCAACCTTTGACCTTGACCTTTCGAAGTCAACACATATGTATACGAGGCGAAATTACGAGAGGACACGATGCTGCTAATTGCTATTATGCAGTTTTTGCCGAGCTTTAGGTGTTACTTCAAAAGTGATACGTGAAAAACTATCTCTAGAGACGCTATTTTGACTGAAATGCAATCAATTATACCTACCTCATTTTGTTGCTAATTCGTTGAGAAACATGGTCATGAAGGTTTCATGTCACTATCTTTCATAGATTCGCCAATATTGGCTAAGTAATTTGGATAATTGCAGCTTTCCCCGAAATTTGACCTTTGACCTGTCATAACTGAGTCAAATATTGAATTAGGGTAAAAAATATACCACCAATCGCGACTTAACTAGGTGCTCGTTGAGAGCAATCGACTGCTCTTTGTTGCGAAGCGAGCTACGACGCTTAGTTTCGAAACGCCGGGGGAGGGGTATGAAAAATACCCTGCCAGGACGAGGGTTTTGAATTTTTGACATACCTAACATAAACAGTCAACTGATATTTGGTCTCACGTCACTTAGGGTCTATGTCTCCATGGAATTTGTAGGTATTGCTGGTTATTTTCATTATTTATGTTCAGTACCTACCGACTGCCCAGGTCAGGTCAAATACCTATTGTCAAAATATACCTGTTCGCTGTTCGTAATCCACTCACACAAACTGACTTCTTTCAAAGTTGTCGGTTTCTCACAAGCTCTTCCCGGCGTACCTACTCCCGATCAAGAGGGAGAGGCGCGCGATAGGAGACGCCTGGCTGCAGGCGCCGCTAATGGATAGATCGTGGGTCGTGGGATGAGTCTTCGACCCGTCTGGTCACGGCGAAACTTAGCAGGGAGGGTTCAGAGCACCTCGACGGCGGCCGCACGCCAGCGGAGCGCCGTAACTAATGGGTGTGACACTGTGTCAACAAACGCCGCTGAGTGACGAGCCGAGGGGACCGTCGAACCGCGCGGGCCATACAGCCAGAGACATCTCTCGGCGATTTTATGAACTAGCTGTGCAATGACTTTCAAATGAATAGAACTGCATAGTGATGCATGCCATGATGATTAACTCTATAAGATTGTGTAGAGAATCGATGTCTTTATGATTCCTAGCAGCCACATTTTTGAAATTGTTGTCATGGCTTTCATGCAATGCACTGCAAGATGAAAATTGTATCATGCAAAACATAGTACAAAATTCGAAAAAAGGCTTGCTAGGAAATGTTTTCCTTGACCTCTTCAGTCCAAAACTGCAAACATCACAGTCGTACGACAATCCCTTATTGAGTTCTATTCGTTTGAAATTTTGATTTTGCAATATGTTTGTCTCAATTGCTCAGTATATGTGGATTGCAGAACAACGGTAACCACTCTGTGATGACGAGGTTAACGTCCTTCATAACATATCCAAAAACGAAGGCAATCGAAGCAACGATGCTCTACATATTTACGAAAAACGTTTCTCATAGCGTTACGCGTGAAACGCACCCTTAAGGGGGGCACCGCCGACTTTTGGTCTCATTCTCTCCATGCAACGCCCATAGGGCTAATGTTAAAATGCCAAAATCAAGGGGGGCACGGTGCCCCGGTACCCCCCCCCCCCCTTCGTTCCGCCGCCTATGAGTAGGTACCGTCTGGACAAAACTTAATATAACTATTCTATTTGTTAAATTATATAAAGAGCAGGGGGTGAAATTGAACCGTTGGAATTGTTTAGAAATGTAGCATTACATTTGGAGCTCAATGTCTGAGGTCTTTGGACGTGACATTCGCCATCCAGTTCCGGATAACCATGAGATATTCCGAAAACATTCGCGCGTATACGCTCGCAAAAAAAAGAACGTTACAGGACGATGAAGTGTTTCGCTGAACATGGCAGTCGCTCAAATTGTAGTCGACGAAATAGATGTCGCTGAAACATAGCTTTCGCTAAAATTGATAATCGCTATATTTGATAATCGCTGAACTTGATAATCGCTGAATTGCCATTCGCTGAAAATGGTTCGCTCAAATGACGTTCGCTCAAATGACACTCGCTAAAGTCGCTCGCACCGGTTACTTTTTGACTGTCTATGGGATGCTTGTGATCATTTAAACGATATCATTGTTTACATCTCTTTTATTATTGTATATGCTGCACTCGAGTTACGCCTGATGGTCCGCTTCACGCGCTCCACCCCGGCAGCCCAGCTGAAGGCGCTCCGGTACCAGTTCGAGATGATTCTGGAGGGTGAGGAGCAGCTGGACAGTTGCCGCTCGGAACTCGCCGCCTGCGAGACCAAGGAGAGCAAGCACCGGCGCGAGCTGAAGAAGGCGGCCGCTGGCGACCGGCAGCAGGCCGAGCTCAAACTCACTGCATCCGAGAGGGCCAAGAACGCCGCGCTCAGCGAGGGTGAGCCAGTGCAGTCGAGAGTTCTCCGCACAGTCCGAAGTTCCGCAGCTTAGAGGCAACGTTCTGTGAAATACGTCACCATCTCGAACGGTTTTGCCTTTTCCGGCCACGTTATGTTAAACCCATGTCCTTTTTATATCGCTGCGCTGTATTATAAACTGACTTGTGATTCTGACTTATCCGTGTCAACAGAGTTCGACTGAGTCTGCCCCAGTATATCCCCCGCAACAGACGGGCTATGACCCGGCGAGTCATCCAGTGTTTACTGAACATGTTCCCGTGGGTGGCATATAACCGATTTTTCCGGGCGGCAGTGGCCGAGCCGATATATGGCTGAGTATATCCCCAGTCAGTGGCTAATTTATTTATCAGCGGCCGGCATATCGCCCGGCATTCACCATTTATGACACACCATTTTCTGACATATGGCCCGGCACATGCCCAGCCCATTCGAAGGTGGGTATTGGGTAAATCTTGTTGGCCCGATCTGCTCAATTAAACAACCAGGTGTGAATTGTGAAACGTTTTAATTTATCTTCTACGTCCTTTCCGGTCCATGCCAATGACATTTAAAGAGTAATTGCGGTATTTCATAGCCATGATTATTAGCTATGCTGACAGGACGCTAACAGGAGAGTAATCAAAATTCAAAAGAAGAAAGAAAAATGTTGGCTCCCCAGCGTAATATGGTTTTATGACAATGACCGGTATATTACTCCCGGGCAGTGATCAATGACCGTTATGTGGCCCGCGTCATCCCCCGGCAGTGACTTATGACTCGGCCGACCCCCGCAGTAACCGATATGTGACCCGGCCCATCCCCCCGCAGTAACCGATATGTGACCCGGCCCATCCCCCCGCAGTGAACGGATATGTGACCCGGCCCATCCCCCCGCAGTGACGGATATGTGACCCGGCCCATCCCCCCGCAGTAACCGATATGTGACCCGGCCCATCCCCCCGCAGTGAACGGATATGTGACCCGGCCCATCCCCCCGCAGTGACGGATATGTGACCCGGCCCATCCCCCCGCAGTAACCGATATGTGACCCGGCCCATCCCCCGGCAGTGACGGAGCGGACGCGGGAGAACGAGGTGGCCAAGATGGCGCGTCTGAAGCAGGGCCTGCTGACGCTCTCGGACGCCTACCTGCAGCTGGCCGAGCGGACCCAGCTGGTGTTCAGCGCGCACCGAGACATCGTCAGCGAGCTGCCCGACATCGACGCCGAGCACCTGCACGCCGCCAAATTCACCGGTACGGCCCGCGGCGGGGCCGCAGGGAGGATCAGGTGGCGCCGGGCTGGACTATTTCCACTGCTGTACGCGTGCGGGGTTCGGAAGACCAATTAGCTCTTCTTTGAAGGTTCTGAAACCTATACGGTGATCGAGATATCACATTTGATGAGTGTGGACTCGCGCCATTAGGGAGTTGCTAGACGGCAGCTGCGGTGTTGTATTTCTAGTGCATAGCTATGCTGCGTTCGTAATGCCGGATGTTTTTACAAAGGCCGCAATTTCACAGTGGACGGTTTATGATCTTTTTATCGGTGACGTGTCGGGGCCTGCCGGGCTGGGTGGGGGTGGGGGATCAGGAGGGGGTTGCCAAAGATACGTGGGTGGCATCTGCTCGCTATGTCAGTCCGGTGTCAGTGACCCCGGACGACCTGTGTTTCAGGTTCCCAGCGGTGTCAGCAGCGTGTCGGCAGGGTGCGGGAGCTGCTCCGTCCGCCCGAGTCGGGAGCGGCGGCGGCGGTTGGCCGGGCAGACTCTGTGCCGCCCGAGCCGCCGCCGCCGTACGCAGCCGGCACCCCGACCCGCCGCCAAAGCGCCGCCCCCGCCCCCGCCGGGACGCCGCCCTGTCGCTGCGGCGCCGCTCAGGGGTACGTAATGCCCCCCCGCCTCCCCAAGGGTGCACCATGCAATGTTAGTCAGCCTTGTGCTCTTTTTCATCCAGTCCGTCTGACACCCTTGTTGTGGACGCTCTGTTGATCTCTGGGCCGACATGGTTCCATTCTCTCTTGAGACAGCGATTCTATCACGACGATGTTCTTCCAGAGTTGGACCGAGGTATGCTTTCTTACCACCTGCGTTCTGGCAGGTACGGGTGGCGAAACTCCTCCATGAGTTCTGCAAGTGACTTCAGTCCGTCGGCGCCGCTGGACAGTTCAGCTTCTCCGGTATATCCGGGCAGCTCACCGGGGTATCCGTCCGGCCCGGCGTACCCTGACGGTTCCCCTGGGTACCCGGGCGACTCCCCGGGGTACACCGGAGCCGGGCACGGGGCGGCGCCGCGCGGCCACCCGCCGGTACCGGTGCCACGCTGGCTGCCGCACGGTCACGGCGGCCACGACCCCCAGCCGGGGCTGGCCGCCGCCGTGGGCGGTCTGCAGCTGCGCTAAGCGAGCCTCTCGGCGGCAGACGACACTCAGAGAAAGCTGGTCACTGGCTGACAAGGAGGAGCCCCTGCCGCCAGTACAGAGTGCTGCTCATTGGACCGGGCATTCGGAGCGCTAGTCGGAGTGCGAGCGGACCTCGGGGTTCGGGGTTCGTCCACAGCTCAAAGGAAGCCGAAATCTTTCATTTTTATACACATCTTTCTATACATGAAACGGTATACTGGCCGTGTCTCAGATTTCTTTATAATGTAAATGTGACTGATTGTGGAATCGATATCCACTTTGGCATGTCTGTAGGTAATTACAGACCATTTTGCATGTTTATACATTTTGATGAATTATGTTTTTGGTTGTTCAATTGTACATTAATTCTCAACGTCTGTTGTGTGAGTGTATGTGAGTGTATATTTCTTTAGCCCCGTAACCTGCTTCGCAAACGATGGTATTATTTGCTTTGCTTTTGACTTGAATATTGTGTTGACAGGACACTATATGTCCTCTACAGCATTTTTCCTGTAGTCGATGCTTTCACAACTACTTAGTCATTGTCTGTGATAGCATTTTTCAGTTTCAGTGCATCAAGCCGTGCCCGTCTCGGCTGATCTCTTGTAGCCCGCTCACTGCGTGACGTCTCAGATTGCGTCTGACGATGGGGAGTGCAGTCAGCTGTGCTTTCGAAGGATTCACACCCCAACTCGCCTCGTCCTCCCTCCTCAATAGTCAGCTTGTAGTCAGTGTTTTGATATGATATTGGTGTGCCGTAGATCGTAATGTGGCACTGCACCCTTGCGCTACCTGCTAGAGATGTTGCCTTGGAAATAAGACAAGATGTCAGCGTATGTCAACGAGTACCGTCCGTCGCAGCCTTCCCGTCGCTGTCCGTCCCGGGGACGAGCAGCGTCCTTGTCTTTCCGTGGTCGTTCCGTCCCTTTGTCGGCGGGTTTTTCGCCCGTGGAGCCAGCGCCGTCGAGCGACCGGTAGGTGAAGTTGTCATGCCGACGGCGGAGCACGAAATCACCCGTTTTGCACCGCCGCATGTGGCGGGTGGACTGTGCACAAAGTGGAGTCGGGCTGGCTGGCTCCGATAACGCGATCCAACGCACAATTAGATCGTCCTAATGATGCGGCGATGCCGAATTGGTATACACTAGTGAAGTGTCGAGCTTCCAATACAACTGGCATTACATTCATCAGTCTTTATATGCTATCGTCCTGAAAAAAAAAAAAACTATTGTCTTCTCGGTATGTGAATATGTGATCAATTCCTTTTTGCGGGCACATAGACGACAATATTATCTACATAAACATTATTGCATTTCAACATCGAAACAAGTACGACACGATGAGGCAAACACGGGTAGCTTTCACTTGGTGACGGTGGCCACCTCTACTTCTGCGGGCACCACCGGCGCCTTATCCGCGAACAGCTTGTCGTTGACGTCATAGTCCCGCATCGTGCGCCACAGCTGCCACCAGCGGCCGAACGCGCCCACGTCCAGCACGCGCTCGTGGAAGGCCAGCCGGCTGGGCCGCAGGTAGTCGCACTGGGCGGCGTGCAGCGCCGTACCCTCCGGGTACGGCCGCTCCCAGAGCAGGCTGAGCGGGCCCAGGTTCTGCGTCTGCAGCCGGCGGTCGGCCTGCAGCTGACGCAGCCGGCGCACGTGCCGCTCGGCGGCCGGCCGGCGCAGCTGCGGCGCGATCAGACGCAGCCGGCCGTCAGCGGCCAGCAGCTGGTCAGAAAACTGCTGGTCGCCCGGACTGGTGTTCCAGGCCACCAGCAGCGTGGCAGTACCTGGCAGCCAGACAGATGGGATTATTAGGGGAGGTAGAATCATAGGTGAACTAAAATAGTGTAAGCCAATGTCAATGCTACTTCATACCAATACTTATTATATGTTCATACTGGAACAAAGCATCACTATTCACTAGCCTTCTTATTAAAGAGTTCAAAGCCAAATTGTTCAGGAACTACTAAACTTTAAAATAAACCATCAACAATGTGTTAACTGAGCATGAGTCAGCATATTTTTCACTTGCTAAATAATCAAAATTCATGTGCTATTCATATCAGCAAAAAAAAAAAAAACTCACCAGCAATGTGGACAGATGATCTCAAAGGATGGCTTTTTATGTCTTTGACTGTGTCATGGAAAACCTCAGCATAGTCCTGTCCAAGCTGCTTCCAGTATGCCCCTGAAATTACATAGGTAGGTAATATTGATGTCAAGTTACAAGCAATATGTCTGTGAATTGTGATGGTATTATATTGGCATCAATCAAATTCACACATAGGTAATACCAAAGGAAAGGTTGAGCAATGAGAGATACAGCAAAGGAAACATACATTCAGCAAGGAACAGGGACACCCAAAAGGCAGAAAAAGGAAGGATGGGGAAAAGAAGTACCTACCTACCTATTACTATTATTACCCGCGCACCGACGGGGGTCTGCGCCAACTTAGTACCGACGGGGGGGGCGGATGACCGCCCCCCCCTGAGATCTCGAGAACGAAGCAAGATAGCGACAAGCGGTAAACGGCATCGGATACGCACGGTCAAGATCTACAATTATTACGAAGGTCATTTTCAGGTCAGGTCAAAGCTGACGTCACAGGGGTAGAAAACGTCAAAATGGCGGCGCTAAATATGGAGAGAGTTTTTCTCGAATAACTTTCGAATTAGTCAAGATAGGAACAAACTAAGGGCATCATCGTGATCCTCTCGTCAATCCGCATCGAATGATATATATGTTGACCTCGAAAGGTCAAGGTCAAAGGTTGACCTCAGGTCACGTGACCTCGAGGTCATCATGTATATCATTCGATGCATCTTGACGAGCTGAACACAATGAGACCATCCACGCGTCTGTATCTTGTTCCTGTACGGAGTTATTGGCCAAAAACCTTTGGTGACCTTTGATGACGTCACATGACCTCACAGCTGCCCAACAGCAAAACAGACCTCAAGGTAGTGAAGGTTGATCGTATATGAAGTCATGTATGGTATATGGGGCCATTCCGACCCGTTTTAGTGGTAAAAACAGGGAGTTGATTTTTCCCCCATTGACTTATAATGGGGAGGTCGCGAAATTGACCTGACCTTAGGTCACCGATATCAAAATTCCAAGATATACAAATTGTAGCTACTAATGACCTAATAACATCCTGCGACTTTCAAAGGCCTCCGACATCTACTGTAGCTCTGGCACGGTGACAAAGTTGCAAAAAAGTGACTTGAGGTTGGGTCATTCAAAGTGACCTGGTGACCTGACCTTGAAAGGTAGGAGGTTCAAACTTGCACACCATGTGTAAAATTGATAAGGGAATAGTCATACCAAATTTGCGCCGCGGTTTTCCCGCATATCCGCCCCCCCCCCCGTCGGTGCGCGGGTTAAAATTCAAACCATTGAAAGTTGTGAGGTTTAAGTACAGGTTAAGAGTAAAATACACTAGTACTTAACATGCAATGCAGCAATCATTTCACTTTAAGACATTAACAAAATATGAAAATCCTTTGGCAAGACATAATCCAACTCCTAAAATTTACCAATTTAAGAATGTTTTGCTTCAAATAAATGTGGTCAATAGAAACTGCGGAGTCCATATTCAATTCCAAATTAAAATAGAAGAGATCATATAGCACAAAAAACACTTAATATTTTCAGACAGCACCTCATTTAGAATTTTCTTTAGTAACATTTTTTATGCAAGCAAAATGAAAAGCAAGATGTGTTTTTATCAAAATTGTAATGCCTCCTAGAGCTGCAGATCACTCACCCCATCTCGCGAGAGGACCGTTCCTGAGCCGTGTCAATAGTTTCGACATAAGGATTATATACTAAAATGCTAACAAAATTCACAAATATATATCCATATAAATATCTAAATAGCACATCCCCACATCATCCGACACCACGACGACACACAACTGCAGGACACAACCAAAGCCCTGATCGGCGGACGGCTAGTACTCTTGCCGGCGCTCACATACGTGCTGGTTGCCCCGGCAACGGGCTATTGACCAATGAGAAGAATGGTAGTTGATATATTTTTTGAATATGGAAAAAATAGAGTATTCTATTCTGACGAGTAAAGCCAAATTCATAAAGCAGTTATTTTTTAATTATATGTACCAGAAATAACCTACTGACCATAGTTTAAAACATAGTCTAAAGTTAGTTGAAAAGCGTATAGTTGATACTAAGATGGAAGGAATCAATGGAAGGCGGAAATGGCGCAGCTGTTTCATTCTTAAATTGTGTTCGCAAGCAGGATTTACGTAATGCTAGCGACATCTATTAATGTAATCGGGGACGCTGATTGGCTGACCGAGTCCGTGAACAGTATCACTAATGTACGCCAGTACAGGGTTGAGGCAATGTGCGCATGCGCAGGAACTTGTGCTCTCATGGAGGGGCTTTTGGTACCTCGGACAGCGCCCAATGCTTTTTGGACCTGTTATGGCCTCCGCATCGAAAAACGCTAGATAAAAAGGTTGTAGAGGAAGCTTGAGGCTACCTTTCCCCACAATAATATTGGCACTTTATCTTTTAGCTTACGTGTGAGGCTCGCTTGAAAAAGGTCGATTTAACATGGAAACCCTATGGGGTAGTAGTTTTTGAGCGCCCATTTGGCCTAATGCTACCAACTGTTACTGGCTACCCCTGCGTGCACGTATGTGTGCGCGGGCTAGCGCGCTAGCCGGCCGCCGAACAGCGCCCAAGACACAACCACAATATGTAACGGAAGTTAGCAGGGATTCAGCAGGGGTTCAGCAGGGATTCAGCAGGGATCGACGGCCCCTACGATTTCGCTGAATTTTGGTGGAGAGGTGCAAAATGGTGTCCTCTATCGAAAATCCTAGTGCCAAAATGCGGGGAATCCATCAGGGGGGCCACAAATCCCAAAAAACAGTATGCCCTCAGGGCACAATCGACGAACTTTGAAAACCCTACTTCTAGCCGTCAAAACAGCTAAAAATGCACGTCATTCGAAAGACGACAAAATTTTACATGCAACGGTACCAAATTTAGGGGGCTAGCGCCCCCCTGAACCGAACAAAACAGCTTCAAATATATGGGCCCCTGAGTATGCCCTCGGGGCATAAATAAACGTTTTCAACAATTTCAGGCCTATAACATCGACAAAATCCAGCAATATGCACATCATTGGAAAGAGCGTAATTTCCCAAACAAAAAACCCAAGTAACATTTTTCGATGGGGCCCACCTGGGGCCCACGGGACCCAATTGAAATTTGGGGCCCAATGGGGCGGCCCCTACGATTTTCTTCAAAATTTGCACAGACACTCTCCTGGGCCCCCTCTTCAATCTGGCTGAAGAAACCTACCGGGGAATCCAAAGGAAGGGGCCCAAAGAGGGCCCCAAAGAGGCCCTTTCTAAGTATTGCCCCTAATTTTGCGACCAACCCCGGCAATATGCACATCATTGGAAAGAGCGTAATTTCCCAAACAAAAAAACCCAAGTAACATTTTTCGATGGGGCCCACCTGGGGCCCACGGGACCCAATTGAAATTTGGGGCCCAATAAGGCGGCCCCTACGATTTTCTTCAAAATTTGCACAGACACTCTCCTGGGCCCCCTCTTCAATCTGGCTGAAGAAACCTACCGGGGAATCCAAAGGAAGGGGCCCAAAGAGGGCCCCAAAGAGGCCCTTTCTAAGTATTGCCCCTAATTTTGCGACCAACCCCGGCAATATGCACATCATTGGAAAGAGCGTAATTTCCCAAACAAAAAACCCAAGTAACATTTTTCGATGGGGCCCACCTGGGGCCCACGGGACCCAATTGAAATTTGGGGCCCAATGGGGCGGCCCCTACGATTTTCTTCAAAATTTGCACAGACACTCTCCTGGGCCCCCTCTTCAATCTGGCTGAAGAAACCTACCGGGGAATCCAAAGGAAGGGGCCCAAAGAGGGCCCCAAAGAGGCCCTTTCTAAGTATTGCCCCTAATTTCGCGACCAACCCCGGCAATATGCACATCATTGGAAAGAGCGTAATTTCCCAAACAAAAAACCCAAGTAACATTTTTCGATGGGGCCCACCTGGGGCCCACGGGACCCAATTGAAACTTGGGGCCCAATGGGGCGGCCCCTACGATTTTCTTCAAAATTTGCACAGACACTCTCCTGGGCCCCCTCTTCAATCTGGCTGAAGAAACCTACCGGGGAATC